GGCCTTTGGGGGTCCAGGGTGGCCATTGATCGACCATGGTGGCCATTGGTGGTCCATGGTTGACATTGATGGACCATGGTGGACACCACCATGTCTTGGGTGCTCCAGCACCATGGATGAGGGGTCTGGATCATGGTTGACATTGATGGACCATGGTGGACACCACCATGTTCTGGGGTGCTCCAGCCCCATAGATGGGGGGCTGAGGACCCACTTGTCCATGTCCCACCACAGGCAGGCCCGGGCACGGGTGGTGACCGGGGCTGAGCTGGCGGCCATGACACCAGAAGCTCTTGAGGGTCTCCTCCGGACCCACCCCGAGATGGTCTTTGCCCGCACGTCACCACAGCAGAAGCTGGTCATAGTGGAGAGCTGCCAGCGGCTGGTGGGACATGGGAATGGATGTGGGATATGGATATGGATATGGGGTATGGGATAATGGATATGGGATATGGATATGGGGACATGGAGTGTGGGATATGGGGTATGGGATATGGGATATGGATATGGGGTATGGGATACGGAGATGGAGATATGGGATATGGGATGTGGGGTATGGGATATGGGGTATGGGATATGGATATGGAGATATGGGATATGGGATATGGGGTATGGGATATGGGGTATGAGGTTATGGGATATGGGGTATGGGATATGGGGCATAGGATATGGGGTATGGGATATGGGATATGGATATGGGGTATGGGATACGGAGATGGAGATAGGGAATATGGGATGTGGGGTATGGGATATGGATATGGAGATATGGGATATGGGATATGGGGTATGGGATATGGGGTATGAGGTTATGGGATATGGGGTATGGGATATGGGGCATAGGATATGGGGTATGGGATATGGGATATGGGGTATGGGATATGGGATACGGGGCATGGGATATAGGGACATGGGGATGATCTCCATGTCCCCATCACTATGGCAAAGTCCTTGGTCTTTGGGGATTTGGGTCTCTGGGTCTTGGATCTTTGTGTCCTTGGCCACCCAACACCTTGACCTTTGGCTCCTTGGCTCCTTGGCCACCCCTGTCCCACATCCATGTCCCCAGGGCGCCATCGTGGCGGTGACAGGCGATGGCGTCAACGACTCCCCGGCGCTGAAGAAGGCCGACATCGGGGTGGCCATGGGCATCGCCGGCTCCGACGTCTCCAAGCAAGCAGCTGACATGATCCTCCTGGATGACAACGGCGTTGAGCAGGGTGGGACATGGAGTGGCCATGGGGACACCCGGGCAACCAGAGCCTTGGGCAATGGGGCTTTGGGCACCCAACATCTTGGTCTTTGGGTCTCTGGGTCTTTGGGTCCTTGGTCTTTAGGTCTTTGGGTCTCTGGGTCCTTGGTCTTTAGGTCTTTGGGTCTCTGGGTCCTTGGTAATTGGGGCTTTGGGGCTTTGGCCACCCAACATCTTGGTCTTTGGCTCCTTGGTCTTTAGGTCTTTGGGTCCTTGGTCATTGGAGCTTTGGGTCTTTGGCCACCCAACATCTTGGTCTTTGGGTCTCTGGGTCTTTGGCTCCTTGGTCATTAGGTCTTTGGGCCTCTGTGTCTTTGGGTCCTTGGTCATTGGGGGTTTGGCCACCCAACATCTTGGTCTCTGGGCCTCTGGGTCTTTGGGTCCTTGGTCTTTGGGTCTCTGGGCCCTTGGTCGTTGGGGCTTTGGGTCCTTCATCACTGGGGCTTTGGGTCTTTGGCTACTCAACATCTTGGTCTTTGGGTCTCTGGGTCCTTGATCTTCGGGTCTTTAGGCACCCACCACCTTGGTCCTTGGGGCTTTGGGCACCCAACATCGTGGTCTATGGGGCTTCGGGTCTTTGGGTCCTTGGTCATTAGGTCTTTGGGTCTCTGGGTCCTTGGTCTTTGGGCACCCAATGCCTTGGTCCTTGGTCCTTTTGGCACCCAACATCTTGGTCTTTGGGTCCATGGTCTTTGGGTCTTTTGGTCCTTGGTGTTTGGGTCTCTGGGTCCTTGGTCCTTGGGTCTTTGGCCACTCAACCCCTTGGTCCTTGTCTCCTCGGCCATGAGTTGACATCATCCCCTCCTTTCAGGCCGCCTGATCTTTGACAACCTGAAGAAGTCCATCGCCTACACCCTGACCAAGAACATCCCGGAGCTGACCCCGTATCTCATCTACATCACGGCCAGTGTCCCCCTGCCCCTGGGCTGCATCACCATCCTCTTCATCGAGCTCTGCACTGACATTGTGAGTCCATGGTCCTCCTGGTCCCCCCCATCCCATTGCTGAGGAGCATTGAGGTTCCTCACCCAGGAACCAGCTTCTTTATATGGACATTGGGGTCCTTCATAGAAGCATCTCATCCATACATTGGGCTCCCAAATGGATGTTGGGGTCCCCCCCATCTGCTCCCCATTGACCATGGTCCATCCATTGAGGTTCCTCATGGAGGAACCAGCTCCTTCATATGGACATTGGGGTCCCCCACAGGAGCTGTCGGGTGGCTTATGGAGACATTGGGCTCCCATATGGATGTGTGGGTCCCATATGGACATAGGGGTCCCTCGCCCATCTCCTGCCCCACAGTTCCCCTCCGTGTCCTTGGCCTATGAGAGGGCCGAGAGCGACATCATGCACCTGAAGCCGCGCAACCCGCGCCGTGACCGCCTGGTCAATGAGCCCTTGGCTGCGTATTCCTACTTCCAGATCGGTGAGACATGGGTGGGGGGGACCCCTGGGGGGGGGGGGG